CCCAGTCACGGCAAATCCAGAAAAGCGCCGACAAGTGTGGCCCTACCAAACGCAATAAAAATATAAACAAAACCACATAATACAATTTTAAAAACCCAGAAACTCGCAAGCCTACCTGTGGCGTCGAACTACCCCACGCCCAGGCAGTCCCGCTTCAATCTCCTCTTTGATAAAACTGTGTGGTCCTGTTGTAAAAATATCACACATCAGAATAAATAAACTGTTAATACCTTTAAAAACAAACCTCCAAACCTACTGCAATCACATGCACCACAGCATGCGTGAACCCAGCACACACCTGGCCACTCACAGGAAACTGCACCCTCCCATCAACACTGCCAACTTCCCTTTTATAGAGGCTTAGACCACAGGGAAACTGTGACAGCCTGTGGTGCCACCTGTTACACAGGAATACAAGAAGATGGGACGTAGAGCAAAGAGGGGGGTAGTTAAGGCAAAGCAGAAGGTGTATAATGAGTTGTATGGGAGGCTGGACACTAAAGAGAAGGACTTGTACTGATTGACAAGACAGAAGGATCAGGCTAGAAAGGATGTGCAGCAGGTTAGGCTTGTTAAAGATAGGAATGGTAATGTTCTAACAAGTGAGGAGAGTGTGACGGGAAGATGGAAGGAGTACTTTGAGGAGCTAATGAATGAAAAGAATGAAAGAGAAAGAAGAGTAGAGGTCATAGAAACTGTGGACCAGGAAGTGGGAAAGATTAGTGAGGGTGAAGTCCAGAAAGCTCTGAAAAGAATGAAGGAGATGAAGGCAGTAGGACCTGATGACCAGTGGAGGTTTGGAAATGTCTTTGAGAGATGGCAGTGAGGTTTTTGACTCAAATATTCAATGACATATTTGAGGGTGAGAAAATGTCTGAGGAATGGAGAAGAAGTGTGCTGGTGGCCATTTTTAAGAACAAGGGTGATGTACAGAGTTGTAGCAACTACAGGGGAATTAAGTTGATGAGCCACACAATGAAGATCTGGGAGAGAGTTGTGGAAGCAAGACTTAGACGAGAGGTGACTATCTGTGAGCAGCAGTATGGTTTCATGCCAAGAAAGAGCACCACAGATGCCATCTTTGTTTGAGGATGCTGATGGAGAAGTACAGAGAGGGTCAGAAAGAACTCCATTGTGTCTTTGTGGATTTAGAACAAGCATCTGACAGGGTGCTGAGGGAGGAGGTGCGGTGTTACATCAGGAAATCTGGAGTGTCTGGTATGTTAGACTGGTACAGGACATGTATGTGGACAGCAGAACATGTTTAGGCTGGTACAGAGCATGTATGAGGACAGCAGGACTTGTATGAGGACAGCAGGACTTGTATGAGGACAGCAGGACATGTATGAGGACAGTGGTGAGATGTGCTGTAGGAGTGACAGATAGCTTCAAGGTGGAGGTGGGGGTTCATCAAGGATCAGCTCTTAGCCCCTTCTTGTTTGCTCTGGTGATGGACCGACTAACAGATGAGGTCAGGCAGGAATCCCCGTGGACGATGATGTTTGCAGATGACATTGTGATCTGTGGTGGGAACAGGTGGAAGAGAACTTGGAGAGGTGGAAGTATGCACTTGAAAGAAGAGGAATGAAAGTCAGCTGTTGTAAGACAGAGTCCATGTGTGAATGAGAGGGAGGAGGTGGAACACCCTGGACGGGTCGCAAGTCCATCACAGGGACACATGGAGACAAACAAGACAAACAACCATTCACTCTCTCACTCACACCTAGGGACAATTTAAAGTTATCAATCAGCCTAACATGCATGTTTTTGGTCTGTGGGAGGAAACCGGAGTACCCGGAGAAAACCCATGCATGCACGGAGAGAACATGCAAACTCCACCCAGAAAGGCCTCCCGGACCAGGATTTGAACCAACAACCTACTCGCTGAAATGCGACAGTTCTACCAACTGAACTATTAATCTGCTGCTTCCTTAGATAGAGAACTTTAACTAATTGTCTTTTATGTTTGTGAATGTTTCTGTTCAGTGCCCTGAGAGAACTTCTTTTGTGACTTAATGGAAATAAACTGAATTGAATCCATCAGCAGCAGTTCTTCTCAGAGTCTCTCATGGAGGACTGAACTTCTCACCTTATCTAAGGAGAGTCCAGCTACCCTGCAGAGAAAACTCATTTCAGACCTGGATCCAGGATCTGTGTTTTTCTGTCTCTCTAACCAAAGAGTACCACTTCTTCCCTGAAGCTGTAAGACTTATTCATTCAGCCTTCATCCTGGTTCGTCTCACTGAGTCTCCAGGACTCATTTTCAAGAGACATGTTTTAAACGAAAAAAACCACAGGTGAGGTACACACAACAATAAACAGGCATAAAGAGCATGTAAAATTAAAAGTAAATAAAAGCAGTGAAATAAAACAAAGTGAAAACTAGCTACATTATGAAACGGGTGAAATATTAAAAACAGGAACATGCCTGCATTGATTTTTGCATCGAACTGAATTGTTTAAAATCCCTTCGAGGTCTAATAAAGGTCGTGATTTCGTTCAGCCACGCTCAGTCTGTCCGTCTCGGACGAGAGGCAGACTGAGCGCGGCTGAACGAAATCAGACTCCCTGCTTCGGACTGAGCAAGAGGAGTGCCCCGCTGAAGCCCCGGAGCTCGAATGTTTACCGAGAAGTTTAAGTTTAGAAGGATTCCTCAGCTTGATACTTGCAGCCAAGATATAGTTTACCCTCCAGGAGATATTTATCAGAACAACAGTAAACAATCATAAAAAACATGATTTGATAATTATGTTAAAAACAAAAACAGCTACATTATAAAGTGATGTAAAATACTAAAACAGGAACATGTCTCTTGGTTTATGCCATGAACTTAGCAGATGTTTAAAGCCGTTTAACATTTTATTTAATTTAATTTATTTATTCATTCATTTAAAAGAAACAAAACAAATTAATCAAAAAGAAAACAATGAATGAAAAGAGTGCAGAAAGAAGAAAAAAAATCTTATCTCCCCCTTATTTAAAAAAAACCTTTAAACAATGAATCACTGAAGTTAATCACTTTAATATCCACTTTAAAGCTAGGAATAAAAAAAAACATGTTTTGTGTTAGCAGAATTTAATTCTAACTTTGAAACGTATCCAACATTAATAAAACTTACCTTTTTGGACATGCATGCATAGATTTGTACAAATTGTACTTGAGAGCAGATTATTACAGCCTCATATAAAATCAATGATGATCATGATATCGGAACTGGATCGGTATTGGCCGATAAACAGATCTAGGTATCGGGATCGGATCGGAAGTAAAAAAAAAAAAGATCAGTTCATCCCTAGTAGTCTAAGTCTATAGCAGCATAACAAGCCGACCCTAACTATAGGATTTATCAAAAAGGAAAGTCTTAAACTGGACAATGTGTCAGTCTCATGGACAGAAACTGGAAGTTGGTTCCACAAGAGAGGAGCCTGAGAACTGAAAGATCTTCCTCCCATTCTGCTGCTGGAAACTCTAGGAACCACAAGTAAACCTGCAGTCTGAGAGTGAAGTGCTCTGTTAGGAAAATATGGAACAATAAGATCTGTAATATAAGATGGAGCTAGGTTGTTGAGGGCTTTGTAGGTTAGAAGTAAGATTTTGAATTATATTCTGGATTTGACAGGGAGCCAATGGAGAGAAGCTAAAACTGGAGAGAGATGATCTCTCCCAGTAACTCCAGTTAAGACTCTGGCAGCAGCATGTTGGATCAACTGAAGACGTTTTAAAGAAGTATTTGGACACCCAGATAATAAACCATTGTAATAGTAAATGGACTGCACCTATACAGCTCCTTTCTATCTTATTTCAAGATGCTCAAAACTCTTTACAACAATCTGTGCCTCATTTATCCATTCACACAGCTCTATACTAGATCTCTACAAAGCTAATTGAACAAATCATTCTAATGAGACTAATCAGAGCTTTAGATCACATTCAGTCACTGATGGGACACATCAGAGACTATGAGGGGTTCAGTGTCTTGCTCAGGGACCCTTCAGCATTTGACTGCTGGTGGATTCGAACCCCCAACTCTCGCATTGGAGGGCGACTGCTCTAACCACTGAGCCACAGCCGCCCTTAGTCCAGTCTAGACGTGACAAATGCATGGACCAGTTTTTCTGCATCATCTTTAGATCAGATGTTTCTAATGTTAGTGATATTACGCAGGTGGAAGAAGGAGGTTCTAGTAACGTTTTTAATGTGGGGATAAAAGACTCAATTTGTGTAACATGAGTACAAAATCTTGTTCCACCACATGTGATGCGAATGACAAGAACCCAGGACCACAGGTGAGGGTAGAACCGTAGACCCAGCCGTAAACCGAGATCATCTCCTTGCAATTCATCTCTTTCTTCACCAGTACAGACCGGAACAAAGTTCACAGTACTGCAGAAGCTGCACTGATCTGTCGGTCGATCGTCCACTCCATTCTTCCCCCACTGAGAACCAAACCAGAGACACCTGAACTCTTCCACTTGAGGTAGAACCTCACCCCAACCCAGAGTCCACCCTCTGACGACCATGGTCTCAGATTTCGAGGTTCTTTCGTTCTTACTTTAAAACAGTTTAGTCTTTTTATCTAGAGTCTCTGCTGCAGGACTGATGGCTTTCTCCGCAATCCACCCAAAGGTCAGAGGTCACACACACCCAAATTCCCATTGTGTCTGAGCTTAGAAATATTTCTTTGAAAGTGGAAGAGATTCTTTTAACATTTCACAATTTTTACTGAATCTTCCACAAATAAAATTAATCTGAAAGTTATTTGATCGACAATCATTAACCAATGTTTGAATAATGAACCATCTGATTTGTTGAGTTCATCCCACTCTGGCTTTTAGAAACCAGGATGAAAATAGGTGTTCACAAATCCCCAGAAGTTTCACACAAAGCAGAACAGAGCTGCAGGACCAGGTTTTAAAAAGGGAGAGAATCAAATTCACTGCTGGGTCATTCACGAACAGACTTATCTGAGTTTTTACTGCCTTTAATGTTCCCAAAAGACCAAGAGTCCAGAAAGTTACAGAGCAGTTCACTCAGGGATTTAACATTTTGTTGGTAAACACTGAACAACAATCATTTGTGTGTCGTTGAGGATCCAAACAAGCAGAAAGGTCAGAAAGGTCAAGAATACAAGAACTGAAAGTAAAGGAACTAAAAGTACCAAAACCAGAAACTAAACATCTAAACAGGAAGTACAGTTCAGCTGATCTCGAACAATTAAAGACAAGCAGCAACTGAAGAACATGAAGCTCTCGGAGGTCATGAAGGTCTCAGAGGTCATGAAGGTCTCGGAGGTCATGAAGGTCTCAGAGATGACATCCACGCAGATACTTGCTCAGGTTTTTGTTCTTGCAGTGTGCACGCCAGGCCACCCTGAAACCACAAAACCAAGATGAATCCAGAAATAAAGCTCAAGGCCGTGAACACGCCTCCGTCACATGATCTCACCAGGCTCCGACACCTTGATGCGCAGCAACTCGTTTAGCGCAGTTAATCGACTTGTTCACGTCAGCCAGGAGATCTGGAACAACAGAAGTGGCACTTTTTAAAGTCACGCTTGGTGGATCTGACTGAGAATCAGTCAAATTTGTAGGACGTCGTTGGTGTTGGAGTTTCTTCACTGACCGCTGCAGCTGACTTTGCAGGTGTTGGATGATTTGGTGTGCCCGTCCTTGCACCAATAGCGGCTGTTGATCTGGAAGATGCCGTAGTCCGTGGATTTGTCGGAGTTGTGGTTGACCGCCCGGGTGTTGTAACTGGACTCCCACTGGGTCAGACAAACCCCTTCAGTTAAAACACATGAATTAAGGACAAACTTTAGGCTTTTAGATTCACCCTGATGTGCAATCACTTACTTTTTTTTTTGGGGGGGGGGGGGGGGGGGGGGCAGCCACATTTATTTTGTCTGATTCTATTCATGTTCAGTCAATAAACACATTCTGATTGATTTTGCTCATTTCTCAGTTTGTTCAGACGCTCTGAGAACCTCGCAGTAACTTCTCTCGTGTTCCTGAGAGAATCCGTCAGAGCAACTTTTAATATCGATCATTAAGTAATGCGTTCCTCACAGTCCTCGTTTCTTTTTGCCTCCATCCCTGTACTTTAGATTTTCACATTAGCCCAGGAGGTGGTGCTCCACCTTTATATTTTAGAGCCTCTAAAAATCACAACGACGCAGTTCTACCCCCACCCAGCAGAGAGACGTCTTCTCTGGCCAAAGTCTCTGCAGAGCCCCGCCTCTCATCTCGTCCCAACAAAACCTTTTACTTTGAATGTAAAGAACAAAAACACTTGTAATGTGCACGAGGGAGCATTTAGTATGGAAAGCTGTTGCGCATTAATGTAGGCTGCAGAATCGGACGCTCGGCTGACTGCCGGAGGTTTATCTCCGGACATCATTACCTGCAGCGTTCCCTCACTGCAGACTGAACTTGGCAGAAAGGCCTTTCCTGCTCAGCTCCTGCACCTGGAACATCTGGCAACAGGAACTGAAGTTGTCCTTCTTGATTTCTTTAAAAGGCTTCAAACATTTGATGGCGTCAATAGAAACATAAAAGCAGATATGTTCTCGTTTTTAATGTCACCCCGTTTTACTGCACCCTGATTTATTCTTTTACACTCTACTCTTATTTTAACTGCATTTTTACTACATTTTACTGTAATTGATGTCTGTACTCTGTGTTCGGTCTGGAACAGGTCTCTCTTGTAAATTATGAGACTAACCTGTAGAAATAAAGGTTGAATGAAAAACATCTGACGTCAGGACGTTGTTAACAGCTGCACAGACGTCCTGCCGCTCATAAATACAGGTCAGTGTCAGCAAAACTAATGAGAACCCAGTGTTTCTATCACGGGCACAGTTTTAAGAAAATAAAAAAGATTAATAAAAAAAAACTCCATGTTTGAAAACAAGTTCTCGTTTCAGCTTCTGGATCTGAAGGGTCTTCACAAACTGGACTGCAATTTATTTTTTGTCAAAAAGTTATTTCAAGGTAATATGCCTTTTTATTTTTATTCAAAAATTACTGTAACATAAATACTGTCAATCACAAAGAAGGTTCTTAAAGAGTTCAAATTAAAATAATTTAAATTTGATATTTTCATTTCAGGCCAGGATAGCTCTATTTTCATTCATTCCACCTTAATTTCTACAGGTTGGTCTCTTGAGCCACAAAGACTCATTTACCTGTTTTAGACAGACATGCAAAGTACAATAAAATGCAATTAAAATAAAAAAATCAAGGTACTTTATAAAAACATAGTAAAATACAAAAATTAACATATTTGCTTTGATTTTTCAATTGAACTTGTCAAATGTTTAAAGTCCTTAGAGAGGTCACCGTGCACAGCTTCAGATCTTTTTGCAAGGTGTTCCAGGGAACAGGTGCAGAGCAGGAGGCGGCCTTTAGCCCAGATCAGTCCGGACTGGGGGGACGCTGCAAAAGATTAATCGTTCTTTGTGGATTTATTTTTCATAGTATTTTATGGAGTTGGTGGATTTCTCCCTCATGAACACAAACTATCACAAAGTTCCAGGACTTAAAGAATCCTGTATGTTTTTAAATCCCTGAACAGTTCTGCCCCCTCCTATCTCACTGATCTGCTGCAGCCATATGTCCCACTGGTCAGCTGACCTGATGCTTTTATTGGTTCCAGGCACTCGTTTTAAGCTCAGAAGTGACGGGACCTTCTCTGTTGCAGGTCCAAGACTGGAATGAGTTACACTGCATGTCAGGCAGGCCCCCTCCCTCACAGTTTTTAAATGCTTTATAAGTAAAGTGGTATGGTAAAGAGTTCTGCTGGTCCAGTGGTTCAAGGTTCTGCCTCTGAACTTTATTTTCTACCTCCCATTCAGCTGTTTCCTGTCAGACTGACAGTTTGTACTCACAGTTGGC